ATAGCAGGGCATCTGGCAAGGGGGCAGGGCATCTGGCAAGGGGGCAGGGCATCTGGTAAGAGCCTTTCTGCTGTGTTGTAACATGACAAAAAGGCAAAAAGAGTGTGCTGGAAAGACAGAAAAATCTGGCTGAATCTGTTTTCATCATGAGCCTACCCCCATTGGGAGCGCAGTTCAATACAGTCATGAAGACAGAGCCCTACATCCACATCATCTCCCAAGGGTCCCAGCTCTTAGGACTGTTAAAGGGTCAGTCACATTTTAGCATGAGGTTCGGGGGATACATGTACCTGGAGCTCCTGTAGCTGCTCAGACCCAAGTAAGCACACAGAGACTTATGTTACTTATAAACTGTATGGCTGCGGCAGGCTTCTTGTTATCTAGTTCTTACATCTTAAATTAACCCATATTTATTAATCTATAAGTTGCCACATGGCTTGTGGCTTACCGGTACTTTTACATCTTGCTTCCTCTGTGTCTGGCTGGCGACTCCTCCCCAGCCTTCCTGTTCCCAGCATTCTCCTCTCTCTTTGTCCTGCCTATGCTTCCTGCATGGCTACTAGCCAATCAGCACTTTATTTATTAACCAATCAGAGCAGCACATTCACAGAATACAGAGCGATATCCACAGCAGATGCATTCGGACCCCAGCACATGCCTTTGGTCTGCGGACATTGACCTCAGTTATTTCAGGTTCCTGACTGGGAGGCACGTAATCTTCACTCTTAGTTGTGTGAGAGAGATGGACAGAGGGAAGAACATTCTGCTACTGTTTCTGCCTGCCCAGCCCCTTCTTACAGAAGGAACCAAAGGCTTATAGCTGTGGAGTACCCTGTGAGGGTCTCAGAGCTCAGTACACTCACCTGTGGGACTGATGGACATTGCCTTTCGGAGCATTACTTCTTCCTGTCTCACAGAATGGAGATCCCCACTGCAGCAGTACAGGTGAGCAGTGGACCTCAGACACCATGTGGACACAGCACCCAGTGGACCTCAGACATCGTGTGGACACAGCACCCAGTGGACCTCAGACACCGTGTGGACACAGCACCTAGTGGACCTCAGACACCGTGTGGACACAGCACCCAGTGGACCTCAGACACCGTGTGGACACAGCATCCAGTGGACCTCAGACACCGTGTGGACACAGCACCCAGTGGACCTCAGACACCGTGTGGACACAGCACCCAGTGGACCTCAGACACCGTGTGGACACAGCACCCAGTGGACCTCAGAGACCATGTGGACACAGCACCCAGTGGACCTCAGAGACCGTGTGGACACAGCACCCAGTGGACCTCAGAGACCGTGTGGACACAGCACCCAGTGGACCTCAGACACCGTGTGGACACAGCACCCAGTGGACCTCAGACACCGTGTGGACACAGCACCCAGTGGACCTCAGAGACCGTGTGGACACAGCACCCAGTGGACCTCAGACACCGTGTGGACACAGCACCCAGTGGACCTCAGAGACCGTATGGACACAGCACCCAGTGGACCTCAGACACCGTGTGGACACAGCACCCAGTGGACCTCAGACACCATGTGGACACAGCACCCAGTGGACCTCAGACACCGTGTGGACACAGCACCCAGTGGACCTCAGACACCGTGTGGACACAGCACCCAGTGGACCTCAGAGACCGTATGGACACAGCACCCAGTGGACCTCAGACACCATGTAGACACAGCACCCAGTGGACCTCAGACACCATGTGGACACAGCACCCAGTGGACCTCAGAGACCGTATGGACACAGCACCCAGTGGACCTCAGAGACCATGTGGACACAGCACCCAATGGACCTCAGACACCGTGTGGACACAGCACCCAATGGACCTCAGACACCGTGTGGACACAGCACCCAGCTTGGTCCCTTACCCTAGTCTAGTTCTGGAGAGGGATTATGTGTCTGTCTCTTGACCTTCCTCCATGTTAGAGAAGGCTGAGCCTCCTGCCCCTGACTCCTGCCCCGGGGGCTGCTGGGCCTCCTACAGCAGATTCCGCTTCCCTTCAGGCTATGACTTCTCAGCTCAGCATAGTCCTTTTTATACAGGAAACTCGGGGTGGTTCACCAAGGGCATTTTCTTGTCTTTTTTTTTTTCCCCTGCCAAGGAGATTGTTTTCCTCAGAGGACAAATTCTGCCATCAACATCTTGAGCTTCCCTTTTCAGACAGGTTACCTTTAGCATTGCTTTTTTTCTGAGCATGGATGACACCAGCCATGTGGTAATGAGCTTATGCAAGAATTTCCCTGGTGTACAGGGCCTTGGCCTTGTGGGAACAGGCTCTCTGTGGAGTTCTGCTCTCACAGTCCTCAGTGACCCTCCTCTTGCCAAGGGCAGTGTTCAGTGGCGTATTTGAGCAGATGTGAGGTATCACATTGGATGAACTGCAGGAAAGGGGAAACAGCTGCTTTCTAAACCGTCTTAGGCCAGGTTTTGTTGAGCCACACGTCATCCCAGAACTTGGTGACTTTAACAGTAGTGATTTAGTACGCCTCCCTGTTTTAGTTACTCTTCTATTGCTGTGATACAAACACTACAATCAAGCAGCTTATACAAGTGTTTATTTGGGCTTACAGTTCCAGGAGATTAAAGTCCATAATGGCAGGAACAAACATCCGAAACCTCACAGGGAATGGCAGGAGTCTTTTGAAACCTTAAGCCTGCACCCCAGTAACACATCTCCTTCAACAAGGCCACACCTCCTGATCCTTCCCAAACAGTTCCACCAACTGGAGACAAATATTCAGACATAAGCAAGCCTATGGAGGCTGTTCTTATACAAACCACCATACCATCTCCCCCCCCCCCCCGTCTGTGTATGGGTGTGTGTGTGTGTGTGTGTGTGTGTGTGTGTGTGTGTGTGTGTGTGTGTGTGTGGACGCACATGTGTACTCTCAATGGCTTGTGGCTGTGGTCAGCTGGAGGGTTGTAGGGGCTGTGCTCTGGAGGTACGATTTGTCCTCATGCAGCTGCTCCGGTGGGCCAGAACAGGCTTCTTTGTGCTGATGGAGGTGTTGAAGAGGCCTCAGCTGAGAGCTGTGTGGTCCTTTAAGGCTTGACCTTGTAAGCTATACAGGGTTTAAAGCAATCCCAGGCAGGCCCAGGTCTTGGGTGACAGTCAACTCAGTGTTTGCTAGAGCAGTAGACACAGATGTGTGGAGCTGTGGCCCTGGGGTCGGTGACTTGTTGGGGCTGTTTATGGTAGCACTCTGCTAGTTTGCCTCCTGCTGCCGAGGACTGTGTCCCACACACATGCACAATGCGCTCCGCTCCTGCCTCCCCCTTCCCATGTGGTGCAGCACCAGACTGCATCAGGCTGCAGCTTCTGTCTCTTCAGGGAGCTGTGAACTGAGATACCATCATCTCAGCCATCAGTGGCTGACACAGATTGTTGTCTCTTGAGACTAGGCGTGGGAGATGGTCTCTAATGGTTTCCAGTTCCCTCTGTATTAGCTGTCTCATGGAGGAACAGATAACTCAGGCCGGGCAACTTCCAGTTCTGGTTCTGTAGGTGCTGGGCAGTTCTGCTGGCCTTGGACTGGGGATGGATGACCTCATGCATATGCCAGGACTTCATGGGGTCCAGGAGCTGGCCAGGTGGGTCTCACCATGGGCTGAGAGGACCGTTGAAGTGACATTCTCCACGATGTGTACAAGGGCAGGTGGGAGTCACGGGTAGTAACATTGTCCTGCCCTTCACTGGCCTCTTCAGTGTTGGAAGGGTTTAGGTAAATTAGTATTATTACTATTTTTTAAACCTCTCAAAAGGAAGTACCAGCATTGTGCATGAGGATTGAGCACTTAGCAGGCTGCTGCCTGTAGCTCTTGCTGTGCCCAGGCTGGCTTTCCCCCAGTTCTCAGGAGTCTTTCTCTGAGAGTGTCAAGGGACAGTCTCAGAGAGAGACTATTCTTGTGATTTCTAATGTGGGTCTCGCTGGTGTCTACGTAAACCAGGTTTTGTTGCTGCTCAGGGAGCATTTGTTGACTATCAGTTTCATTGCCCATCTTGGTGCCGAGCCTGTGGATAGAGAGGTGTGTAAGCATGGCCCCCATACTTCCTCAGCTTGATCTGGAACATAAGACAGAGCAAAAGAGGAGGCTTGTGAGAGGGCAGTTCAGTAGGGTGAGTGACACCATGTGTCTGTGGGAGGAGATTATACTAGAAAGTGAAGTGTCCTGGAGTTCAGGAGTCCTAGAAGCAGAGTGGGAGCTGACAGGTGGTGTTGGTGTATGCATGGCAGTGGAGAGCAGTTCTTAGACTCTTCTGGATGCTTAAAAAATGTGGATTGTATGCAACTCCCCCAACCCTCACTGGACTTAATGATTTTCCCAGGTGATTCTGTTCAGCTGGGAGGGGGAAACACTGACCCACACCCTGGCCTGGGAACTGGCTGGCATCCCTGGGAGAAGGAACAGAGAAAGAATGGAAGCCTGGGTTGGGATCTGAGTGGTTTCCTTGATTGAGGGCCAGTGTGAAGATTCCTTTGGCACCAGGGGCTGGACGAAGAGCTGAGGGCAGACTGTGGAGGCCAAGTTACAAGGGGCAGAGGGCGTGGCTGATGGGACTCCAAGGAGGGCACTGTATCAGTGGTGACCAGCGTTGCCTAGCCAGACTGCTGTGGACGGGGCAGGCAGGTGCAGAGGACAGGCAGGAACCTTCAGCAGAGAAGCGTGTGAAGTGGGAGGACTGCTGAGCCCAAATGGGGTGCTGCTTGTCTGTCCAGAGTGGGAGGAACCTGAGCGTGCTGCCCAGGGCAAGGAGCCAGTAGAGAGAGAGGTGGGAGGAGAGCTGTCCGAAGGGTTGCTGGTGAAGCTTTGCAGAGGAGGATGGAGTCCAAAGTCCCGAGATTGGCGTTAGCCTTGAAGAAAAGGAAGGCCACCCCACTTGATCCTGGAGGGAAGAAGGAGGTAAGAGGGGTTAGACTGCAGCCACTCTGACTGGAGGTGATTCTGCTGGAGGAGGGACATGGGTGTCCCTCACCCAGGCCTGTCTGTACTCTGGCTGCTTGTGGGATGTGGGAGGGAGCAGATAGACAGGCTGAGTTGGATGCAAGATGCTGCCCCCGCTTGCATTTTCCAGCATTCTTTGGGGATATTCCCAAAAATGACTTTGAAGAGTGCTTACCTAGTAAACCTGGCAAGTTTAAAAATGGGAAATTTTAGGGTTACCCACCAGTTTCTAAAACAGCCCCCACTTGAGGAGATTGCCCTCAGCTCTGAGATCTTTCTCAGACTATCTTGGCAAATGAAGGGTCTTGGAAAACCGTGTGAGTGTCTGAAGACAGTGGAGCTGGTTCCAGGACTGGAGACAGCAGCTGTCCAGGCCAGGGCTGCTGTCAGTTCCCAGCTGAACCACAGAATGTTGTTTCAAGTGCAGATGGAGGTGAGTGGGTTCTCTCCTTGGACTTATGGGAATGTACTTAGCTTTTCTGTGAGACAAGGAGGTCTTGGCCAAAACTGCAGTCTTTGCAATCCTACAAGTTTCTTCAGCAGTGTGTGACAGGGCACTCCATTCCACTGTGCAGAGTGCGAGCGACAGCCCTGCTCCCTGTCCTCCTTTCTTGTGGTGACTGGAGCACCTCACAGTGTGTGTGCCACGTCCAGCATGTAGACTTACTGTAGCTGTATGTGACTCTGGGTACCTCTGCCTCCGTGTGAGAACGGGGCACCTGTGACTGTTAGTGTCTGGTTCTTGTCATACAGTGTAGCGCAGCGAGGCTCCCAAGTTAAACCGTAGTAAGCCAGGTGCTTGGAACTTCAACTCTGAAGGCATGTGAGTGGCTGGCACCCAGTGACAGCAAGGTCATTGTCACTGTGCCTCTAGTGTTGGCATGTCCTGTGCCTTTAACCCACCTTGTCACTGCCACAGATAGCCTTCTTTCCTTGTCTTTCCCTGCCTCCTTCTCAGCCCCTCTTTGCTCTCTTTCTTGTCCCGTCCGTCCGTCTCCACCACCCCCCTCCCGTAGTACAGATTCTTTGAAGGATTAATAATAGACTTAAGGCTCAGCCAGCCGTCGTGTTCTTTCTGTGAGAAGATGTGTTTGCCAGACTGGCTTTGGGGCTTCTAACGTCCTTGGGAGTTGCAGGTTTTGTCATTTTGCTCTGAGACTATCTCCTGTCCCCTGTTGTGACACCAAGCCCCTCGGACAATTTCCAGATGGGACTGCTCCTGCTGAGAACCCTGGGACAGGGCTGTGTGGGTGTTGGGACCCAGTGTCCAGACTGTCCTTGGGCATGGGTGCTGTGTTTCGTCAGACTGTCCTTGGGCATGGGTGCTGTGTGTAGTCAGACTGTCCTTGGGCATGGGTGCTGTGTGTCGTCAGACTGTCCTTGGGTGCTGTGTGTCGTCAGACTGTCCTTGGGCATGGGTGCTGTGTGTCGTCGCACCTTCGGGCTGATTCATGCTTGAGTGCTCTAAGAGTTCTTTCATGGTAACGGCATTTGCGGGCAATGGGATCTGGCTGTTGTTCTGGTGAAGAGGATAGCTATAAATGACAGCTAGTCGGGATGCGTTTATTGGGGGTTGAAACGGTCTGTTACACTTAGGTTGTGGTTTTTCTTCCCCTCCCTGTTAGGTGAGAGCTGACTCACCTGTATTTAAGCAACTGTCCATCTGGAGTTAGGACGTGTTGGAGATGGAGTGAGAAAAAAGTAGATTCTTTGCTTGGAGCAAATTTAACTTCTGACCTCTTCCCTTCCCTGCCTACTGAACCCAGGGACTCACACATACTAGGCAGGCCTTCTACCACTGATACATTGCCAGTCCCAGAGCAAGTTTTAAAATGAGCTAATTATCTTTTCTGATGCATTTGGTATACACTTCAAGTTTTGTTTTCATTATACAAAATTTGCATTGTTTTTGTGCCACACTCTGTGTTTAACCCACACGTGTAGATAAGACCCAGGACTTTTAGATCCTGACCCTGAAAAACTGTAGTCACAGCACCATGGTCCTTGTCACAGGAAGCACAACCGTCCCTCCTAGGCCCTGGTCAACACACAGCATTCTAGGTAGAATGAAGAACCAGCTGTGGCTCTGGAAGTCTGATGTCTCTTCCTTCTCTCCGCAGAACCTGAAAGCAGACCCAGAGGAGCTATTTACCAAGCTGGAGAAGATTGGAAAGGGCTCTTTTGGTGAGGTGTTCAAAGGCATTGACAATCGGACTCAGAAAGTGGTTGCCATAAAAATCATTGATCTGGAGGAAGCTGAAGATGAGATAGAGGACATTCAACAAGAAATCACAGTGCTGAGTCAGTGTGACAGTCCATATGTAACCAAATATTATGGATCCTATCTGAAGGTAAGGCTTAAAAATAACGCTGCTTCCCGTTATGCTGCGCTTGGCTGAGTGGGGAGAGCGGACCCGGGAGACTGACAGACAGCACAGCAGGTTTTCAGAGCAAGGAGAGAGTGAGCCTTTGACCTTTGCATGGCGTCATCATCGTCATCGAAAATGTCACTCATAGGATTTTACTTTTGGTAAAAACAGTTGGTGTTGATGTTCTCTCAGAGAAGAAACTGTTTGAGTGGGGCTTTGTTGTTGAAACTGTTCATTAATTTATAACAGTAACCACTAGTCACTCAGGGTGGCTGTGAGTAGCCACAAAACCTCTTGCTGTCCTCAACTGTGTGGCTGAAGTAGCTGATGGGTCCACGCTCAGCGTGTAAGAATGCTGGTGAGTAAATGACCGAGTCAAGCCGACGTGCTGGTGTGCAACAGTGCAGGTGGTCCCTGGCCTTCCCCGTTCTTCAGTGGTAAGGTTGAGTGAATGCAGTGGCTCTCAACCCCTTTCGGAATTGAACGACCCTTTCATGGGTCGCCTAAGAACATCAGAAAACACAGATATTTACTTTAGGATTCCTGTCAGTAAAATTACAGTTACGAAGTATCAACGAAAATAATTTTATGGTCGGGAGTCACCGCAACATGGACTGTATTAAAGGGTTGCAGCGTTAGGAGGGTTGAGAACCATGGTATTAATGTGTTCCGACCCTGCGTGGAAGCTGTCTATCGTGGTGGATATCATAGGGTCATCCCACCACTAAGAAGGCTCGGTGACTCCTGTGTTCAGGCCCCGGGACAGGTGGCCGCTCACTGAGCTCATAAAAGTAGAGTCCTTAAAACTGGAGATTTAGAGCAGTTAAGAACTGATGCGAAAACATCTCGACAGGATTTCTGTGGAAGCCAGAACTTCTATGTGGAAGCGCGAGCATTTTTCGAGGAAGGCAGCAGAGACGAGGCCTGTCCCTCCTCCTCCGACCACCTGCTGGACACATCTACTCTGGTGTGAAGGCAGAGGATAGAGTTTGATTCTTGTGGAAACAAGATGGTTATCAGTCTAAGGTTGAAAATGTTGAGACTCATGAGTTCACCAAAATGAGTATTAGGAAATGAAAATTAGGTGGTAGTGTTATTCTCTTGTTATGGCGAGAAAGCACGGCAGTCTATAGATGCTGCATTTATGTAGGTTTTGAACTGAAGTGGTGACTTCTCGAGTTAGGGGGCACTGGGCGTGGATCTTGTCATTATTCATTTTTGGTGTGGGGCTGCTAGTGATTTTTTTTTTTAAGCGTTCTGCTTCCCCGTTTGTGAAATGGGGAAGACAAACACCATGCTCTTGACTGGATGTGACCAGGTGCTTCCAGTCTTGCCCTTACTGCCTTGCAAGAGAGCTGTGACCTGGAATTGTGAGCCTCCTAAACCCGTTTGTCCTCAGTTTCTTTTGTCGGGGTATTTTATCACAGTAGAAACGAAAAGTAGAGGAGTCGTATAAGGGGAAAGGCCACAGCACGCTGCCCAACGGCCGGCCTAGATGGGTAGGTAAGGCCGCAGTGGTGTAAGGGGAGAAGCAGCATGCTGCATCCATACTCTCCACTTAAGTGGCTACAGAAGGCCTGGAAAGGTTGAAAGATGGTGATACTCCATTTAAACTGAATTCACTATTGTCCAAGTGTTTAATTTGGGGAAACTAAACTAGCTGGGCTATTGACCAGAAGTCGCCTTCTGCCACAGCCACTGGGCCAGCCTTTCTACCACAGTAGTGCTGTACACGAGGTCCAACGGAATGGGGTGGGCAGAGGCAGGACCAGGGAATGCTGTGGAGTTTTCAGTCGGCAGCGGGTCAGTGTGGTTGGTGTGCCGCAGGACCCCTGCCTGTCCCTGCTCCATGCAGCCTCTCAATACATAGCCTGCTGCTGTATTTGGGGGATTGCCAGCCTGCCAGGTCTCTGTGTTGGGGTTGACTGATGTCACGGCCAGGGCTTTTCTCTACTCCTCTGGCAGGTGCTCCACCAGGTGTCTCCTCAGGCTGCCCATTCTGCAGGGTTTGGGACCTGTTGTGTTTCGTGTGCCTGGCACATAGAGGGGTTTTGGCAAATAGTGACTTGAATGCATTTTTTTTCTTTGTTTTAGATATTATCTCAGCCACATGACTCAGAATCCATGTCTGAAGCTCATTGTTATGTGCTAAAATGGGGTTTTTATCCTGTCCTTTTAGAACCACTTATCTGGTCTCTGGCCTCATCCCAGTTCTAAAGCAGATCAGGTGTGAGGCTCTGATAAAAGAAAAAAAAAGTGTTTGCTTTTCAAATCTTCACTTGGTATACTTTCTTATCAGAGTGTCACTACTAAGGACACATGCTCCACGGGGTCATTGTCTCATTGTGACTTCAGATCCTGGGTTTACAGTGAGGTTTGTAAGCTTTTTTTTTTAAAGTTAGTTCCTAAAAATTGTTAGGGTATTTTACCCACAAGATTCACCAGAAATTAATATTGAAAAGGTCCCTGATGAGTTCTGTGAAGGACCTATGCTGGTGAAGGTTCTGTGGTTTCGGGTGCATTCCACACCTCACTTTAGAGGGCTTTTCTCAGCCATAGTCTTTTTTTTTTCTTTTGTAAGTTGAAAAATCACTTTACTTGTTCTGGGGAGTTGTCCGGAGTCTCCTCAGAACTTCTGAAGCTGCTCCCTGGTGCCAGCAGCCTGGTGGCCTTGAGCACTTTGAAGCACAGGGCTTACACACGTCCACGGTGACAATGTTGCTATCTGTACATCCCTGAAATGGGGATAGGTGCACAGACATGTTCTTGTGGTACTTTTCAAATGATTGTACTTTTGATGTAATGGAGATAGCCCCAGCAGAGGACAGTGGTCCTCTGCATCCTCATCTTGGGCATGACACCAGACAGGGTCTGACCTCAGATGGAGACGTTACAGTGTATGTAGGTGCCCTCGATGGCCTCCTTGGGTGCCTTGAAGCCTAGACTGATGTTTTTGTAGTACCAAGGGAGTTTCTCCTTGCTAATTTCTTCCAGCAGGACATACTGTGGTGATATTGTGCTCCCCAAAATATTGTGCACCCTAATAAACTTATCTGGGGTCAGAGAACAGAGCAGCCACCAGATATAGAGGCCAGAAAATGGTGGCACACACACCTTTAATCCTATCACTTGGGAGGCAGAGATCCATCCAGATCTCTGTGAGTTTAAAACCACACTGGAAACAGCCAGGCATGGTGACTCACGCCTTTAATCCCAGGAAGTGATGGCAGGAAGCAGAAAGGTATATAAGGCGTGAGGACCAGGAACTAGAACTGGTTAAGCTTTTAGGCTTCTGAGCAGCAGTTCAGCTGAGATCCATTTGGATGAGGACTCAGAGGCGTCCAGTCTGAGGAAACAGAATCGGCTGAGGAATTGGCAAGGTGAGGAAGCTGTGGCTTGTTCTGCTTCTCTGATTTTCCAACATTCACCCCAATACCTGGCTCCAGGTTTGTTTTTATTAATAAGACTCTTTAAGATTCGTGCTACAAATATACTTCTTGGTTTGAAAGGTTGTGGGCTGCTTTTGGTAAGTAAGCTCGGTCTGTGTGTCCGCTATCCTCCCAACAGGTGAGGAAGAGAGAGGTGGGCCAACTCCCAGGCTTCCCTGTTCACTACTCAGTTATATTGGACTTGCTGGCTTGTCTTTTCCCTACCTGCCCCAGAGGAAACTAGTTTCCTCTGGTGAAATGAAAGCCAGTCATTTCACGCTCCAGGAAAGAGACAGAAAGGTGCTGGTGTGAGTGGCCAGTGTCTGTGATGGAGTGTCTGTCTGTCTCTGGTCTGGGCTCTTTCCTCTAGCATAGTGAATGGCCAGTTTCTTGACCTTAGCTCTTCTGAGTGAGCACAACAGAATACCGTTAGCCCCTGTGTGTAAACTTTGTGCTGGCTAGTCTTACATCAACTTGACACATGGTAGAGCCATTTTGGAAGAGGGAACTTCAATTGAGAAAATGCCCCTACCAGATTGTCCTGTGGCAGTTGGGCATTTTCTTGATTGGTGTGGGAGGGCCCAGCTCACTACGGACAATGCCACCTGTGGGCTGGTGGTCTTGGGCGCTCTAAGAAAGCAGGCTGAGGAAGCCAGGGGGAGTAAGCTAGTAAGCAGTATTCCTTCAAGGCCTCTGCTTCAGTCCCTGCCTCCAGGCTCCTGCCCTGATGTCCCTGGATGATGGACTGCAGGCTGTAAGATGAAATAAACCCTTCCCCCCAAAGTTGCTTTTGGTCATGGTGTTTTATCATAGCAATAAAAACTAAGACAGTTTCCAGGGGAAACACCCATAGTGCACTCTGCCTTGCAGGTATTGTATTATAATCTAAGAAACATTTTTATATCTGGAACAATTTATCTTGCCATGTGAAAAAAACGGATCCTGTTAGAACCTGGCAGATACTTTCCTTCCTTCTGACCTTTCCAGCTATTTTTTCAGAAAACCAATCCTGGTATTGTCCCAATTCCACCATATTTAGTAGTATTACGGCTGCTTGCTCAGGAGTGCATCTTGTTTGAGTTCCATGTTTTTATTGGTGTGGAAGAAGTAAGGTACTGTTTTAATATTAGTGCATGAGAGGTGATTGACATTTACTGGGACTGGAGTCACTACACGAGGTCGCCCATGTGGCGCAGTCTTGCCCTGTTAATACGAGGGTGTTCTGTGAGCTACGTGAGTATAGCATTGTGGCACTCTTCTGTGTGGTGCGTTGGTTCCCACTGACCACCGCATCGGTGGCCTTCCCTCACTGGAGGTCTGAGACCAATGTCTGTAGGTGGTTCTGGTTGTCAGTGCTTCCAGCTTCTAGTGTGTGGAGGTCTGGGATCATCTTGTATACCCTGTAGTGCATAGGACCACCCAAGTGCCAGAAGTCAGTGTGCGTGTGGTGGCAGGTGTGTTTCGTTTTAATGCTGAATGTGTTAGTTGTATTTGAGTTGCTGTGATGCAGTATCTCTAAGAACTGACTTAAAAGGGAGAAGATTTGCTTTGGTT